AGGAGGAGGAGGAGGACGAGGAGGAGGAGGAGGAAGAGGAGGAGGAGGAGTAGGAAGGAGGAGGAGTTCTGTCTCGAGAGCAATTGCGCTCCTGGGAAGGCCCGGGGGGTTAGGGCTCGAAGCAGCAGTTCGGGCGACTCGCGTCACATCTCTCTCGGCAGGGCGCCGCGCAGCAGCCTGTGCTTGCCGTCGGTCTCGGGGCAACGGCGCGATCTCGTGTCAGATTGTCAAGCCGCGGTGGTTCTGCGCATCTTGCATCCATGGCAACGCGGGGAAGCCATGGATCAATGCCAGTGGGAGGACGTCTTGTGCGCTCTGTGGATTACATCCAGGAGTATGTTTCGGTTCGAACGCCGTCCCCACTTCCCCGTCGGTCTCTTCTCATGGCAAGCCTGGTAACGGTGCTGTGCGTGGTGCTGCTCCCCCTTGGGCTGCCAGTGCCGCGGAGGAGTTGCGAGAGCTGCGTGAGAAGGTCAGAAAGCACGAGCATCGTGAGAAGGAATCTTCTGCAGATGCCGACTTCTCCATGCAATCGGTGTTCCTCACAGGCTCGGCAGCCCGTCAACGGCTGTCGGAAGCGGATCGTGAGCTCAACGCGGTGGCCAAGTTCGTGGGTCCAGCGTGGGATGAGTTGCGACGCTCTTTGGAGACGGAGAGGACCAAGCTCCGCGACTTCCTCCATGCCAGTCGCCCAGTCCATTCGCAGGTACACATCGTCACGACGCGCATCGAGGCCGCGGAGCCGAAGCTCGTCAAGGCCATGGAGGTGCTCGACCGTCAGAAGCAGCAGCTGGAGCAGATCAGGTCCAGCATCGCTCAGGGTGAGGAGGACATCGAGTCCCAAGAGCCGGCCAAGCAAGAGCTGCGCGTGCAGAGGAACCGTTTGGTGGCCGGAGGTGAGCTCGCCACCAGTGGTGCTCCATTGTCCACCTTGCAGCTCAACCTCACCAACTTGCAGGGGCCCCTGGGGGAACTGGGAGTCCAGGGGGAGTTAGAGTCCAAGGCATAGCGTCTGGCGGAGGCTCCCGTCGATCGTGGCCAACGCTTCTCTCCTTCCAGCGGGGACAGGTCCAGCTTTCTCCGAAGGCAGCGTTCCTGCTCAAGCCAGCGCAGCTGACGGGGGTCCTGACCGGCCACTTGGCTCGGCGGCGGCGGCAACTCACGTCTCGGTTAAGCCATGTGCCCCTGACTCGCAGATCATTGAAGAGATCCGTCAGCAGTTGGAGCCTTCACTTTGCTACTGGAAGGAGCCGAGGATGATTTTGTGCTTGCGCGGACGAGGGCCTGGGCCAAGCGCGGGTTCAACCCAAATCATAATCAGTTTTTTCGAGGCCCGCCTGGCGTAAGGCTCGAGTCACGGGCTATGGCGAGGGGGCGGCCAGCACAATCGACTTTTGTATCCATGTCTTTTCAATGGGAGTGAGACTGCCTCTGATGAGTGGGCGTTCTTGATTCAAGCTGAAGAGTCAAAGCAGATCGGGCGGTTGGGCATTTTCCCGAATTCAGTTGCCAACCAGTGCAGCTTTCTTGTTTGATCGGGTCGTCTCCTACAGAGCTTGCGGCCTACGGTGACTGGAGCTACTGGTACTTCGGTTTTTCCTCTGGTGGCGACTGGGGGGCGGAGTGGATGCCGGCGCGGACTGCGCCCCAACTAGGCTTCAGCAGCCGGCGGGCCCCAGCTCCGCATCGTCGCCAACGCCCCTGCTGGAGGTTCCGTCTGGGGGCCCGTCGCCGCGGCTTGGCGACCTGCAGCTGGTTCCGCGAGGTCTCGTGGGCAGGGGCATCTGCGCTGCTCGCGCCTCAGCGGGCGAAGGACTTGATGGTCGCGCAATCTGTTCGTCGGCATCTTTGGCGGTTGGCTCTCATCTGGAAGGGCAGCAGCTGACTCTGGCCATAGTCGATGCCAGCGCCCTGGCGTCGGCCGAGGATGCCATGCTCTGGTTGGACAACCGTGGAGAGCAGCCTGATATTCTTTGTATCCAAGAGCATCGCTTTCTCTCCGATCAATCTGAGCGCTCCGCGCATCAGTGGTGCCCCGCTCGGGGTCGTAAAAACTGGCTGTGGGCCCTGCGCTTCTCGCGGGGGCTGGTCATGTGGAAGTTTCTGGGGGCGTCGCCGCCATTGTTTCGGGGCGTCTTGGGTCCAGGGGGCTTGTTGGGATCCCGACCCGCTGGCAGCATGGGGTGGTGTTTCGCCTGGTCACGCTGTCCGCCACCTCTGCTGCTCTTATCGGTTCAGTGTATGCCGCGACGGGGATTGGAGCGACTGGGGGAACCGTTGGCTTGCTGGACTTTCTGGCGTCGGTTCTCGGGGCAGACTTTGCCGCCCATTCTGGCCGGGGACTTTTTCGTGTAACCAGAGGCCCATCATCGGCGCTGGCTGGCTTGAGCTCATCTATGGAAGTATTAGCACCACTGAGCATGCGACATGCGGTGAGTAGGTGCGGGATTTCTTCGTTCAGTCCAGCGCCGTGGACGTATTTGGCTGCAGGGTGGATGTGATTGAGGAAGCGCCGACGTCGCCTCGCTCGCCCGTCACGGTGCCCGTCGCAGGGATCATCGAGGAGCCCATGTTTCGAGGGGAGATCGCGCGCGAGGCCTCCCCTGTGATCCCCGTGGGGCAAGACCCAAGGCGCGATCGGGGCATGTCCCCGACGGCGCGGGCAAGGGGCCAGCGCCCCCCCCGTCGTTGGACTCCGCGCACTCTGCGCCGCAGGAATGGTTTCGGAGAAGGGACTGTGTCACATTCTCAATATTGCACAGGACAGGCGAGCCCCTTTTCCTAGCCGCTGGAAGGGCCCTCGATTTTGTCAGGCGAAGCTCTCCCATTGGCTCTCCAGGCTGAAGCGTTGCCAGGACAGGGGGGGGGGGGGGGGGGGGGGGGGCACTTCGGCGTGGCGAGCTGCCATGGAGATCCGAGCAGCTCAAGCGCTGGGGCGAGGCGCCTTGCGGTGCCATGCGCAGGTGCCCAGACAGGCGGGATCGTCTGGCATCCAAGTCGCAGGGGCGGCCCCTGCCGGCTGCCGTCTCGGACTCGGAGCTGCTGGAGACCCCCCAGGTTGATGGGTGGTATGGCCTGGCTATTCGAGGGGGCGGGTTCTGTGTGACTGGTTTCACGATGTTTCAGATGCGGAGGTTCGCTTACGGCAACAGACAGGTGCCGCGGCAAGGGCCCAACAACGGAGGGTGTTCTCAAAGGATGTCCTTAGTGGTAATTCCAAGGTGGCGTTTGCGGTCTTTCGTGGCAAGCCGGAGGAGGAGGGAGCTATTGTATTTTCTGGATTGGGATTAGTGCAGTTGAACAGATCGCGAGGGACTGGGAAGTTTATCGGTGCCCACCTGTCCGTGACCAGGAGCAGCATCCGGCCGCTTGGGAGGCCGCTCGGACACTGGGAGACATCTCGGCGGACAACAGTTAGAGCGTCTCATTTCTTCCCGCCTGGCGCGGCCTTGGGGCGGGAAGCGTCGCGCCCTCGGTCATTGAGGTATGCCGGCGGGGCGTCGGTTGAGAGACTTGCCGGCGTCTTGTCGGCGAGGGACAAGAGCCCTGTGTGCGATTCCCTCTTCGCGGTCATCGTTGTCTTCTTCCCAAAACCCTCGGGGGGCGTTCGCCCCTAGGGATTCCTCTGCGCGACGGCCCGCGCGCGGGGTCGCGCCCGCCAGCCCGCGATCCGCAGGTGGGAGAAGGAGCTCGATAACTTGGCGTTTTGAGGGAAGTCGGCTTCGACCGCGGCAGAGAGGGCAAGTTGCGTGCGCCATTTATTTGTATGTCGCGCCAGGAGGAGGGGTCTCGCCTCCATCTCGCTCTTCATTGGTATCGCCAAATTTTACGGGAATGTTTCTCATGAGTAGCTTCGTCGTGCGGGTGCCCATTTCGGTCTCGGCATGGGCCCCCTCGGGGCCCCATGCGCCTTGCACCTGGCTCCTCGACGCGCTGGCCGGGGGGGCCGGCGCCGGCGAGCAGGCGGTGGCCGACGGTCAGGCCTCCGGAGACTAGGACACAGATAAACCAGGACACGGAAAACCAAGGAAACGACATCTTCCCCTGCAGTGTCACGTTTCTCAGCACCCGTGCATGTTTTGTTTGCTGCGCTGCAGGGTTCGGGATTGTGTCCGGGCATAGGGGGGTCTCGCAGGCTTTTGAGGCCTGTGTCCGGGTTAATTTTGGAAATTCTGCAGTGTAGTATTTTGTTCGTGCCGCCGTTTTGATAAATTGGTTTCGAGGGATGTTGGGTGTCCGGGTCTAGCGTGTCCGGGTCTGCGGGGCCCTGAGACGGGGCGGGCATTGCAGGGCGTTCGCGCGAGACGGGGGCCCTGGAACTTATGGTGCTCTCGGTCGTGGAGGGCCTGTCCGGGGAGGTCCCGCGCTGCAGGTCGATCGACGTCGTCGACGACCTCGCGGGCCGCGTCGTGCGGGGTCCAGATGCCACGATCGCAGCGGCGGGGGAAGTCTGTTCTCTGGTCCAAATGGGCACGGCGGAAGTGAAGCTCCCGATCTCCGGGTTTGGATGCGTTCGGATTCGAGCCTGATCCCGAGGGTTCTGGAGGCACGCGGCTTCTGTCTTGGGCGGGATAAGTGTGCCCGGGGCCGCGGGGGTCTTGGGGGGGTTCGAGCGGCGGCCGGCGCAGGCGCAATGGCACCCCCCAAAAAAAACGGGCCCAAGAGGGTGTGACTATGGGGTCTCGTCTTGCCATGTTTGGCTCAGGCGCGGCCGTCTCCGGGGTCTTTCAGGCGGCGCCTCTTGCCGAAGCGATCTGGGGAACGGCCAGTCAGGGTGTTTCTGGTGCTCAGCTTCGTCAGATTCGCGTGCGGGCTGCCAGGTCTCTTCGAGGCGTGCCCAGGCGAGCCCGCATAGGCTTCCGCTTCTTGGGCCGTCCGAATGGCTAGCGCAGGGGGCAGCCGTTAGTCGCGACCGCGCTGGTCGTCGAAGGGTTCGTGCGCAGCTGCTGCGTAGACGGCAAGAGGGCCCTGAACTTGACGAAGCCGTGGGCTTCGGTCGAGCGCCCCGTGGCAGCGTTGATGTTGGCCTTGCGGGGGCTGGGGTGGAGCCTGGACCTGCCTCGCGAGGCCATCGTCGATGATATTGGCAGGACTTGGTCGATATCTAAATTCTCGCCATCGTTCTTCAGCTTTCTGATTCAAGCCGATGGGCGCCGAGCTGTTGAGCATGATGAACAGGTCTGGCAGAGTGCGTTTTAAGCTCTGGAATGGGCCGATGTTCTGGGCCCCATCAGCATGAGTTGCTGTGCTAGAAGAACAGCGCAGGCTGGCTCGGCCATCGTGGGGGCAGTTTGACGGCAATGACTGCGAATGTGTATTGGGGTCAGGAATGGATCAATTCACGCGCCGAAGATGTCCCCAGTGTGCCAGCTATGCCACGGTGCTACAGGAACGGCTTTCCATCGGAGATTCGAATGTCCAGCTCGCGATGCCTGGAGGCGGGGGTGCTTGGGCAATGCGGTCAGCCGTGGTTCGAGGCTTTCCTTGGAGGACCAGGGGCTGTTCCGGCGAGGGGCGTTTCCAGATCCAGGGCGCCCCGTTCGCAGACCTGAGAGGATTGCGGGGGGGCCCTGTGCTGTGATCCCAGCGGGCCAGCATGTGTGCACGGACGGTTCGAGTTTTGAGAGGTTGTGGCCTTCTTTTCGTGCTGCAGGAAAGTCAGTGTTTGTGTCAGACAACGATGGGGTGATCGTTTGGGCATTATACAGTGTGATCCCACTTTCGAAGGAACCACAACAGCTTGCAAGAGATGGAGAGGACTTTGAAGTATGGGTGTCATCGAGGAATGCTGTCGCGGCCCCAGGAACGATGGTGCGCACTGACTGTTGTGGAACCTCAGGGTGCGCGGCGCTTCCAGGGTCTTCTTCGGCTCCGTGGGCGTCGGTGCCGCGAGCCCTTTGGCGGGCTGAAGTCGGGGGTCGCCTTCGCGGGGTCAAGTTTGCCAGGGTGAAGTCCCACGTGCCTTGCTATGCTGTGCGCGATGGGAAACTTTCCCATGGAGATTGGCGAGGTAATCAGGATGCGGGCCGCCTTGCCGAAGAAGGTGCCCAGCTTTTTTCGAGCGCCCGAGGGAAATCTTCTTCTCCTTAAGGGTTGTCGAGAACTGGCGGAGCGGGTTGCTAGGTTGGGAGGTCCCCAGCAGGCGCGTTTGTCGCGGGCGTCTTGTCGGGGCCATGTCGGGTTTGAGTGGGTGAGCAAGGCGGTGCGTGAACCGATTCCAAGACTACTCAT